AGAGCCATCTTTGTTCTGGAACTAAGCACTTCCTCTTTAGACAATTTCCACTTCAGCATGAATTGTAACTGGTATCTCCCAGAAAGAAACATCACAACAAATGTGCAAATCTTTCTCCATAACATCACTCACTTACAGTATCATGGCTAGAGTCACTTTCAGTGTTCTCTTTTACTTCAAATCCTGCCATTTCCACCCTTTGCTTTTCTGCAGAATGCATCAGAAGAATCATTTTATCATATAGAGACTGATGAGGAATATTTTCGGAGGACCTTCACCATCATCTGGTCTTTTGACATATTGAAGCATGGATCCAGCAAGTGATTTAATTCTTGTCTCTTTTGCTGCCCTTTGCTGCCACCCAGTTGGCCTCTATGTGTCATGATGGAATATCCCTGCACAAGAAAAGAAAGATAATATTTGGAAACAAACAAACAAACAAACAAGCCATCAGGAACATGTAAAATGTAAATCAATTGGCTATGTTCTATCAACTGTAAATTTTAATGTGTCACTATTTTTGTAAACCACAATTCAAACTTAATTGCTGACATTTTTATTAAAATCAGATATCAATTTGCAAGACAGTGTTATTTTTAAAGGGAATTTTAAAAAGACTAAAATTTTTAAAAAAGTGATTTTTAGATTTAAGTTATATTTCTAAACATGTATCAAAAAACATAAATTTCCTCCATGGCCTGTTTTAAACTATCATTTTCTCTCCTTAGTTATCAAAGAGTTATATAATCAATAATTGTTACACATGTAGGTTTATTATAAATTTTAATCATAGAATAATATGTGATAACTACAGTTATAAATTGCTTAAATGTAATTTAAGCTTATATGAATATTAAGAACAAAATTCTTTTGTAAAATCTTTCTCCATTGAATTACAGCAATTAGTTGCAAAGTTATTAGTAAAAAAGGTGGAAGCTATTTTGATTTTCTCTTTTATTTTAATTACTACTTCGTTCTCAAAAAATTATTAATATAGTTTCACAAATACTAATCATCACAATCATAGCTAAAACAACAGAAAATTGGACAAAATCAGTCACTATAGAAACACTCACCAGCGGCAATGAACACAACAGTGTGTGTTTGTAGTCCATGAAGATGAAACCAGGTAATTTGAAGGGTCATTGTCATTGGATAATAATGACAACTCTGACTGGAGTGCATTAAAAGGTTCCATAAATAAAATAGCATAGATTTTCAGCCTTGTAGATATATTGCTACATGTAAGATGAGCTCACGGAAAATGTTTTTGTTGTTATAATTAACTACAGGCATAATAAACATTAATAAACTTCTGCTGAAATATTACACAGGAATTTCATAGACAATCATTATGGTGTCACCCAAAATTAAGACTAAAGTAACTTGCCCAAGCCATAGTATTTTCAAGTGCTTCATATGCTTGTGAAAGCAGGATAATGAACATGGAGGACAGAAGAAGAACTGATGCATTCAAATTAGGGAGCTGGCAGAGAATACAGGCTATATGATGATGGACTGCCAGAGGAATGACCAAATCTGTGTTGGAAGAAGTACAGTCAGAATGCTCCTTAGAAGCAAGGATGGTGAGACTTTGTCTCATGTACTTTGAACATGTTATTTGGTGGGACCAGTCCCAGGAGAACGATATCATGCTTGGTAAAGTAGAGGGTCATTGAAAAAGGGGAAGGCCCTCAACAAATAGATTGACACAGTGGCTGCAATAATGAGCTCAAGCATAGCCACAAGTTTTAGGGTGGTGCAGGACTGGGCAGTGTTGCATTCACTTGTACCAAGGGACGCTATGAGTTGGAATCAACTTGACCACATCTAACAAAAACAAGAACAGACATACTTTGAAAATACCAACATCACTTTCAACAATATGATTACTGAATACTCGTCTCCCAAATTCAGATCTTAGAGAATCTTTAATGTTTGATTTAAATTCTACCTATTTTATGCAGGTGTTTTCATTTTGTCCAAATCAGAGTGAACCTTCACTTTCCTGAAGACCCTTTGGACATATAATCAGTGCTAAGTAATTTAGCACCTAGGTCTAGGCAGTTTGGTGATAACTTCTAATGATATTACATAATTTTTATGTACAGTCTTCCATTTTTATTGATATCACAGGGAGCAGAAAGTTGATTTAATGTATCAGATTCATTACTTACAGACATCAGGACCTCCCTTGGATTCAACTATGAGCCTGGTACTCCAGCATGGCCCTGTTTTGGAATGTACTCCTAAACCTACTCCATACACAAGAGGTATCTTTTACTATTTGTTCTAGGTGATTTTAGCCCATGGTAAAGAAGAGATACCTATAGTGAAGCTAAACTTAGTAAATCAGTGAAAGAGGTGACAGGAAAAAAGGGAGGTCATCAATGTGTCATTTTTTTTTTTTTTAAATGAGTTCAGTAAGCCTTCTTTACAGGCATTTCCATACCCTGTTCTGCTTACTGTTACATAATATCATGTTATATATGCTTATAGACAGTCAATAAATATATGCTTTCTATTGACATAAAACAAACAAACAAACTCACTGCCATAGAGTCAATTGCAACTCATAGCAATCCCCATTGGGTTCCAAGGTGGTAAATCTTTAGGGAAGTAGATTGCCCTATCTTCCTTCCACAGAGTGGCTAGTGGGTTTGAACTACCAACCTTCTGGTTAGCAGTCAAATGCCTTAAGCACTGTGAGTATTCTCATTAAATGGCTAATCTTTTTTGAGTCTCAAATCAAGTAAGTATTATGTAGGACCACTTTAATATCCACATTAAATTTAAGAAAATAAAGGCTTAGAAATATTCATGATTTTTTTCTAAGGTAAATTTTGGTTTCAAATGCTGGTTGTCTGAGTCCTATAGAATGTTATATTTGTTTCACATTTTCCTTCTCTTTTAATCATTTTATGAACTTTCACAAGTATTGACTCTGTGATGGTAGATCATCTACATTAAATGAACTAGAGACTCAAAAAAACTCACTGCTGTCGAGTTGGATCGAACCTGTAGTGACACCCCATTCCCCGTCCTCCCCGCCTTGGGTTTCTGAGGCAATATCCCTAAAGAAGTAGATTGCCCAATCTTCCTTCTGAGGAGTGGCTGGTGGGTTTGAACCACCAGCCTTCTGGTTAGCAGTCAAATGCCTTAGGCACTATGCTGCCAGAGCTCCTTATGAGCTAGAGAGTCTGGTAAATTCTCATGAGTGTTGGCTTGAGACGTTGATCATAAAAGTAACTTTTAATTAAAGAGAAACTTATATTTAGTTTTCATTATTAGTTACTTCTCATTATATTATTACTTACCTTTTCAAGGTACATATACTCAAGTGTGAGGTCAGGCCAACCTTCTTGAGAATCTCCATACACACAATGCTACTGAACAGTTTATACTGTAGAAGGTCAATATATTTAAGTGACTTACTCTAATTTAATATAGTGGTGTAAGTGTATACATTTATTTCAGAGAAATAGAAGAGATTAAGTGTTTGAAAATACTAGTTTTATTTGCTGTCCAAATGCAGAAGAGACTCAAATCAAAGAGAAAATAAAGCTAGGCATACACAGGAAAACAAATAATTATAGGTATAAAATGTAATGCTCTCCTAGGAGTCCATTACTATTATATTTTTTATGTATGTGGATTATTGAAGTTAATAAATTACCTAATCCATCTCCTAGCATTATTAGTTATAAATCGTGTAAGAATAACAACAAACTTTCCAAATTCAAAAATATTGAGTAGGATACACACATTAGGAACATAGAAATTACATTACTTCTGTCAACTCTTTTTGGTGAGCTAGTGAACTGTTTCTGAAAACAACTCTAGAAAGGTATTAAGTGGAAGATAAGGACATTGAGAATATCCTACATTATATTAAATATATTTTATGTGCATCATTACTGTGTTGTTCTAATAATTATCCAGTGAAGTGACTCCTCTGTTTTACATTTCAAGAATTATGAAATGATAAAGGAGAAAACATTATGCTACTTTTAGATTCCTTCTAAATCTATATGGATTGAGTACAATGATTATTAATGGAAGCTTTTAAAGAATCATATCATATCACAGAAAAATCAGAGTTTAATACCAAAGTCATCACATTTTCCAACAAAAAGTAAAATATTATCTCATGATAATTGGAAGTAAAAAGATTTATCCAATGTGTAACATCTCACTACATACAAACATTACTAAATTTCTCAAAGTTCACATAAATTTCATGAGTCCATAGATCAGTGTGAAAGCTTCCTGATCTCACACTGGTTATTTTCTCTTTTCATTCAATTTTAGACTGTTATGGAAGAAATATTTTACAAATGAAGGAGAAATGAATAAGATCATGCTGTTGCCTTTAAATTACTTTAATTTGTGCCTTTTCTCTCTGATATATAATGTTAAAGAAGTAATATTATTAAATCTCAATGAATCTTTACTTAAGGTATTTAAATGCAGTGCCACTGAACAAAGAGTAAATTGTTTCATGTGGTATTTATGACAGTCACCGTCTCATAGATTGCTTTGGCCTACACATAAATATTTGAATGACCTCACAAAACATTTCATATAGAAAATCTATATTTGTATATTATTATTTAATGTACCAGTCATTCTGTGTATGAAACCATTCTATGATATTGCAGATTCAAGCGTTATCAGTATCAGAAAACATGAAACTTGATAACCAAAACACTTTACATAGAGCTTGGGGATAAATTCAGTGTCTTCAAGCTTATATTTAATTCTTTGTATTGTATTTTAAGCAAAAGTTTTACTAACTTATTTTGCCTGAAGATATTCCAATAAGTAGAGGTTTAAAGGAGCTAAGTAGAATGGTTATACTATTTGTATCCACAAAAGATTTGCACACAAGAATTATTATGTTAACTTATCTCAAATTTACCTTGTCTCAGTAAAAATTAAAAAGCCAATTAGAAGACATATTTCAGTGCCTTATTTATATTAACATATTTCTATGATTTTCAGTTCCTTTTCATTTCTGTAGATTCATATTCAACTCTCATGAGCTTCTTCAGTGCATCCTTCATGTCCTTATTTCTCAAGGTGTAGATGAGGGGGTTAAGACTTGGAGTGATGATGGTGTAAAAGAGGGTGAGGAACTTGCCCTGGTCTTTGGAGGCACTGTTACCTGGCTGCAGGTACATGTAGATGATAGTTCCATAGAAGATGGACACCACAGTGAGATGAGATCCACAGGTATTAATGGCTTTTCGTTGGCCTGCTTTTGACTTCATTCTCAGCACAGCTTGGGCAATATAACCATAAGATATAAGGATAAAGAGGAGGGGTGAAAGGACAATGACAATGCCTAAAGCAAAAACAGACATTTCAACTGCTGTGGTGTCCACACAAGCTATTTTGACCATAGCTGGCAACTCACACAAGAAATGATCCAGAATGTTCTTTCCACATCTAGGCAAATTCAGTGTGAGTGTACATAATGTCACAGAATTGGCCAAACTAATACCCCAGACCATGATAATCATCTTGAGACACAGATGTGGGTTCATGATGACCAAATAATGCAAGGGTTTACAAATAGCTGTGAAACGATCATAGGACATAACAGCCAGGAGAAGGCACTCAATGGAGCCCAACCACATATAAACATAGAGTTGAA